CACACACAAAAAAAAAAAAAAAAAAAAAAAAAGGGTATCATTAAAAGCGGTATCGTACTATATGTGGATTCACTCACCATTACATTATAGGCTGCCGTCCGCGCTGCTGAGTATAGCTCAGCCTCCTTCCTCTCCGTCACTCTCCAGTGTTCCATGTGTGGGTGTGCCCTTGGGATTTACTTGTCCATCCTCTTCCTGATGGATCTGGGGGCTCTGATGAGCTTGCCCAGGAGTGGAGGTGCATACTGTACGGTATGCTCAACGTCCAACTGTACAAGACAAGGCCCAAGTATTTCCCAGACGTGGTCGCCCCACGCTGTACTCCCGGCCACTGTGTACGAGATCTTGCTGGTCTCATGCTCACAGCCAGTGGGGTCGTCAGACTTCATTCTTGCCTTTGGGTCTGGAAGGATTCTCTTCATGGACTTGCCATTTATTTCCTTTATCACCCATGAGTCTGAACAGCTCTCCCTGGATTCCCAGCTATTGTGACCCTATCCAGGGACGTGCCTCTTCATGTTATTTCCCCAACTTACCGGGTGGTGTGTCCTGTTCTCATTGATGTATATGGGTATGTAAAGTTCTGACCCCTCACCCCTAACTGCGCCCCCCATACTGCCCTTCCAGGCCTCCAGAGGCTGCACAGGCTACGGCGACCCCACTCCAGCAGTGATGCTTTTCCTGTGGGCCCAGCACCTGCTGGCTCCTGCGAGAGCCTATCATCCTCCGAGTCCTCCGAGACCTCCGAGTCCTCCGAGACCTCCGAGTCCTCCGCAGCTGGGCTGGGGGCGCTCTCCGGTTCCCCCTCACACCGAGCCTCAGCCTGGCTAGATGATGGGGACGAGCTGGACTTCAGCCCACCCCGCTGCCTGGAGGGGCTCCGGGGGCTTGACTTTGATCCCCTTACCTTTCGATGCAGCAGCCCCACCCCAGGGGACCCTGCACCTCCCGCCAGCCCGGCACCCCCGGCCCCCGCCTCTGCCTTTCCACCCAGGGTGACCCCCCAGGCCCTCTCGCCCCGTGGGCCCACCGGCCCTGCCTCACCCATTGCCCTGGACATCTCAGAGCCCCTGGCTGTATCGGTGCCACCCGCTGTCCTGGAGCTGCTGGGGGCTGGGGGAACACCTGCCTCGGCCACCCCAGCGCCAGCCCTCAGCCCCAGCCCAGGCCTGCGCCCCCATCTCATCCCCCTGCTGCTGCGTGGAGCTGAGGCCCAGCTGAGCGACACCTGCCAACAGGAGATCTGCAGCAAGCTGGCACTGCCTGGTCCCCGGGGAGCCCAAGGCCAGCATGGTGAGTACTGTCCAGCCCACCCGATCCCGCACCCTCACAGCTCTGAGGCTGCGCCCAAGACCCTGCCGACTCCTCTTCCCACTCCTCTCCTAGGTGCTGGTATGGATTCACCGCTGCTGCGCCCACCCCTGTCCCTCCTTCGTCCTGGGGGGGCCCCGCCCCCGCCTCCCAAAAACCCAGCGCGCCTCATGGCCCTGGCCCTGGCTGAGCGGGCTCAGCAGGTGGCTCAGAGACAGAGTCAGCAGGAGCAGGGCAGCACCCCGTCTGCTCCCCACTCCCCTTTCCATGGCTCGCTGTCCCTGGAGGTGGGCAGTGAGCCCCCAGGGACCTCAGGGAGTGGGCCACCCCCCCGCTCCCTAGCCCACCCAGGTGCCTGGGCTCCGGGACCCCCACCCTCCCTACCGAGACAACAAAGCGATGGGAGCCTGGTGAGGAGCCAGCGGCCCACGGGGACCTCAAGGAGGGGACCCAGGGGCCCTTCCCAGGTCAGTGCCCAGCTCAGGACAGGTGGGAGGTACAGAGATGTGCCAGAGATGGCAGCCCACTTCCTGTGTTCTGTCCCCCCACAGGTTCCTACCCCTGGCTTCTTCTCAGCCCCCCGGGAGTGCCTACCATCCTTCCTCGGGGTCCCCAGACCAGGCTTGTACCCCCTTGGTTCCCCATCCTTCCAGCCCAGCTCTCCAGCCCCAGTCTGGAGGAGCCCCCTGGGTCCCCCTGCACCACTGGACAGAGGAGAGAACCTGTACTATGAGATCGAGGCAGGCGAGGGGTCCCCTTACTCTGGTCCAACCCGGTCCTGGAGTCCCTTGCGTTCCATGCCCCCAGATAGGCTCAATGCCTCGTATGGCATGCTTGGCCAATCACCACCACTCCATAGGTCCCCCGACTTCCTGCTCAGTTACCCAGCGCCCCCCTCCTGCTTTCCCCATGACCACCTTGGCTACTCAGCCCCCCAGCACCCTGCCCGGCGCCCTACCCGACCTGAGCCCCTCTATGTCAACCTAGCCCTAGGGCCCAGGGGTCCCTCACCCGCCTCTTCCAGCTCCTCCTCCCCTCCGGCCCACCCCAGAAGCCGTTCTGATCCTGGTCCCCCAGCCCCCCGCCTCCCCCAGAAACAGCGGGCCCCCTGGGGCCACCACACCCCTCACAGGGTGCCTGGGCCCTGGGGCCCTCCAGACCCTCTCCCCTACAGGGCAGCCCCACCAGCCTATGGAAGGGGGGGCGAGCACCACCGAGGGTCCTTGTACAGGAATGGGGGGCAAGGAAGGGAGGGGGCTGGTCCCCCACCCCCCTACCCCACTCCCAGCTGGTCCTTCCACTCTGAGGGCCAGACCCGAAGCTACTGTTGAGCCAGAGCTGGGAGAGACCTTCCTCCTTTCTCTTCTCCCTCACTGATCTTGGTCCAACCTAATCCCTTGTTTTGTATTTTCTTGAGCTCCTGACCCCTACCCCAGGTTTCTAACTTTGTAACTTGCCTCTGATGTGGGTCCCTAACCTGTTATCATAGCTTACCTACCCTGGGCTGAAGGGCATGCCCATCACCCCACCACCCTCCATCCTGGGGGCTCTTGCACAAATCTGAGAGGGTTAGGCTGACTCCCTGTCCTCCCTTTCTCTCCAGGAGTTCCCAGCATGTCCTGTCCTGTGCACAGGGGGTGGGGGGACAGTTCCTGCCATCTCCCCCCACATACCCCACTAAACCATCTGACAAAATTAATGAATAAAAATGGTGAAAATGTGGCTGCTAGTGTCATGCTGGGGTCAGGCTCAGTGAATAAAGAGGCAGTAACAGATGGGTTGCTTTCTCATTTTATCATTTCAGCAGGTGCTAAGTGGCGAGTCACTCCTGGGAGACTCTGAGGGGCAATATCTGCAGAGAAGGGGCCATGGGTGCTCTAACAATTTGTGTCAGGAGTGGGATTGAGCCTGGGCCTGTCTTCAAGTTGGCATCCACCTTGTAGCTCTGCTATGATCTCCAGCAGATCCATCCTGGGGTGGGGGGGTTGGTGGTGGGCAGGTGAGGGTTATCTCAGGGATGAGGAAGGGGCCTGTGGCCATCCCACCAGTGCCCCATTTCTCACTTCTGCAGGCTGGAGAAGAGACTTCCTCTGATCAGCTCAGGGCTGGGCGCCTGCAGGAGTAAAAGACTAGAGCTGCCACCCGGTGGCCACGGAGCTCAGGATGGCCCTGGGAGGGTGGGGTGGGGCAGGGGCTGGGCTCAGGGTCCAATGCTTCACCTGCCCTCGTGGCCTTCCCTGCCAGCAGCCTCCAGGGTGTGGGAAGCCTCCCTGTGGGTCAGTAGGCAGGGGGTGGGCTCACAGGGCTGGGGCTCCCGCAGGGCAGCCCTGTGTGTGTGCTGCCACAGCCCCTGCAGGGCTTGGATCTTGGCTGAGAACTTCCTCTCAAACTGCTCCTCAGAGCTCTGAGTCCCCAGCAGGGAGGCCGAGTCCTGAAGGCTGGAGTACAGGGCAGGGCCCTGGGGGAAGCAGTGTTGGTTGGGGGTCACAGGTCATCGAGTGGACAGTTGGGGGTTCCAGCGGGTCCCTGGTCAGAGGAGAGGCAGCCAGGAAAATTGGGGTTGGTGACAACTGGAGGGAGGGGTCACAGGTGAGCAAATGGATGGTGGCGCAGGGCTCAGGGTATCCATACTGTTGATCTGGGCTCCAGGCAGCGAGCGGTCCAGGCTGACCCTGGCTGTGGGGCTGTGCCCTGGGCAGAGGCTGGGGCTGGGACTCGAGCTGCTGCCTGAAGTCAAGCTGCTGCCCGAGTCCCAGGCTGCACCCCTCTGGACTTTGCTGTGGCCCATGACCTGCAGAGAGCAACGGCAGAGAGCTGGCATGGTTGCCCAGGTGCCCCACAGCTCCCTTGGTCCTCCACATACCTGTCCTGGCTTCCACCTGGGATGGGGAGGGGCCTGGGGGCATCACAGAGGGCACAGGCCTGAGTGCAGTCTTGGCTCTGGGGGAACAGACCAGTTGGTTGGAATGGGGTGGGGGCACAGCTGACCTGGGCTTAGCACCTGCTACCATCCCCTCCTTGCCCTCTAACCGGGTGGAGACCCCTGGGGTGAAGGGCACAGTGTGGTGCAATCCATTGTGGAGCTCACCTCAGAGGCTGAGTCCTGTGGAGAGGAGGCCGGGTGTGGGACACAGGCCCTGCCTGAGGTTCCAGGGCTACCACCCACCCTGGCCGACCTGCCCTATACCTGAGCCATGGCCTTCCGCAGTAGGTATCGTGTACTCTGCAGGCTGCCCCAGTGGTCAGCAGGCCCTAGACCCAGCCCAGCCTGAACCAGGGCCTGGTAGGGGGCTGGCACCAGGGGGTCCAGGGCTGTGCTCTCACCGGCCTCCAGTTCAGGCCCTTCTCTTCCAGCCCAGGGAAGCTGTCTTGTGAGGAAGCATGATTGGGGGACCCAAACGGGTGGGGGCCTCACTGGGGCAGGGAGCGGGGTCACTCGCTGACCAGTGAAGACCTCCTGGGCCAGGATGCGGAAGCTGTAAAGGTCTGAGGCGGCGGCAGGCGTTTTACCGCAGGTGAGCTCAAGTGGCAACCACGGGTACAGTTCGGGAGGTGGGGGCAGCCCTGGGCCTGGGCCTGGGCCTCCCCACGGGTAGCCCTGCTGTGGCCTGTGGAGGCCGAGGAACCTGGTGAGCCAGTGGCTGCCGGACAGGGATGCAGGGGCAGGCAAGTGAGGCAGGCCCTAACCTGGGCCGCAGCCAGAGTTGGTGCAGCGGGCGCCCGTGCTCCAGGCTGCCCCCACCTTGGCCAGGCCTGGCCGCGTCAGCTGCACAGCATGGGAGCTGAGGCCTCCAGGAGCACGCCAGCGGGCCTGCAGGAACAGCAGGGCCTCCAGCACCTGCAGCGGCAGGTGGCCAGGCAGCAGGCCGGCACAGGGCAGGGGCCCCCTCTCGGTCCCAGCCACACGGGTTCGAAGAGAAGGCACAGCCCCGACAGGTCGGCCGAGGGGCTCAGTGCCATCAGCAGCAACAGGCTGGGGTGGTGCAGGGCGCTGGGCAGGCGGAGAGCAGGCCACTCGTGAGGAGGCCCCAACCCACACGGGGCAGGGGGCTGCCCTCGGGCACCACGCACCAGGGGCTGACGATCTGCCTCAGCCACCAGACGGAGGGGAAGCCGAGACGCCGGGCCGCACAGCCTGGCAGCGGTAGAGCCAGCACCCTGTCCGCGGTGCCCCTCCCTGTGCCCGCCTGCTCTCAGAGGCCTACAAGACAGTGCGCAGAACTGGGTCCCCACCTGCCCGTGGGGAGGAGTCACACCAGTAGGAGGGCTTCATGCCAAGCGCTGGCCCAGAGGTGAAGACGGTAACCGCGGCCACTGCCACACTCCCTGCGCTTCTGTTTCCGAAACACTTGAGTCGGGAGGGCAGGCAGGAGACTGTTCTGCAGGACTGGGCCGGCCTGGCGGGAAGGCTGGGGTGACATACCTGCAGTGCTGAAGGTCAGGCAACAGCACGTCAGGCTGGGCTCCAGGTGCCTTCAGCTGCCGCACGGTCACGGTCACGGTCACGGTCACGGGGTGGCCCCTCCACAGGAGGCTGGAGAAACGGGGAGGGGGAGAGAGTGTGGGTCTGAGACAAGGGGGTTTTCCCTGTAAGGGGAGCGGAGAGCTGGACTCTCCCCCGAGCTCTGCTGCACAGACAGGCAGACGTGTGGGAGGGGTCTCTCTCTCTTGGCCATGAGGGTGTGGGAGCTGCTCTCATAGGTGCGGTCGGGCTGGCAGCAGCTCCTCGGGGTCCACCTGTTACCAGCCCCAGTGGCCACAAGCTGTTCCGCTGGGGGTGGGGAGCGGGACCATGAGGCAGGAAGAGGACGGAGTGGTCCCCACTCCCTCCAATATCTCCCGCTTACCTGGCCGAACGCTAAGGCTGGGATTTGGGGGGTTCTCCTGATCTGCTCCAGCCTCCGTGCCCTGGGGTAAAGGGCCGTCTGAGAGTAAGTCCAGGGTAGCTGGCAGTGGTGGGTGGGCAGGCTTCGGGATGTGGGCTGTTACCTGTCAACCTGCATCAGCCGCACACCACCACACAGGCTCTGTCCAGAGCTGGTCTGCAACTGGCCCAGGGGGGCAGTGGGTGCCAACTCACTGCCATGCACCAGTGCTGATGTGTGGGCACGGCAGAGCTGTAACGGCTCCAGCACCCGGACAGGGGTTGGCACGTGGGGTGAGGCAGGGTGGGGCGCCCGCCCTGACGCCCTCACCCCACCCCGGCCATGGCTCACTTCCCAGGTCTGCTTGGCACCGCCTTGCTCTGCCCACTCCCGAGGGGTGCGACCCTGCTGGTCATGCAGACGCAGGTCACCCCCTGCCTGCAGCACGTGCAGCATCACCAGGCTGCGGCCCAAGAAGGCGCCCGCATGCACAGGTGTGCTGCCGTCCAGGCAGCGGCTGCAGCAGAACGATGAGAACAGTAATGGATTAGGAAAGGGACGGAACAGAGACAGGAGGTGGCAGGGTGGGAGGACTGAGGGATAAAGGGGTCACTACGATCATGGGAGGTGGCTATCAAGATGGGGGGCTCACTTGGGAACGCAGTGGAGTCTGAGAGGGTGAGAGGATAGCGGTGAGCATGGGAGGCAGTGGGAGAATGGGAATAGTCACTGGAGGATTAGAAGGGGCCAACTGAGAGAACAAGGTGGGGGCTGGTCACTGGGGATGGGAGGGTCATCAGGGGATGGAAGGGGGTCTGAGGGAGAGAGGCCTCTGGGGAAGACAGCCCTGGCTCTCAGGCTCCCTGGGACTCAGACTCAGGGCGCTGGGAGTGTGGGGCATCACCACCTGTTCACTCACTGGTTGGGGCTGGCACCAAAGGCCAGCAGGAGCTGCACGGCAGAGCTGTGGCCCAGCAGCGCCGCGAGGAAGAGCGCCGTCTGCCCAGGAGAGTTCTCACCACCTACCTGGACAACGGAGGGGCAGCAAGGTTGAGGATTACCCCTGCCCTTTACTCCGGGGGCAGGGGTCCTCTCCCAATTCCCTGCCCCCACAGTCCCTCCTTGACTGGGTGATCCTTGACTCCAGGTTCCATCTCTATGTCCTGGAACGCCCACCTTCCAGCTGCTGGGGACTCTGCCTCAGAATCCATCTCAACACAGTCCTCACCATTAAGTCCACAGAACTGGAACAAGGTGACATCTACCTGCCACGCCAATATCCATCCCCCATCCCAGAGGTGTCAAAATCACACCAAGGTACCCAGGGGCCCGGAGGAAGTGGACTTGATGGGCGCTTGGGCTTATAGGAGCCTCGTGCACTGTCTAGGGCAGGCAGGCTCCACCCAGCTCTAATTCACTATATAAATATAGGGCCCATGTGGTCAGTGCCAAATTCAAGAAAAGCA